GTGCAAAAAATTAGCTCAAAAATATAAACCGGAATACCATCATTGTTCACTCGGGTTTGAATGAAATCCCTGGCATTTCAACCCACCCGGAGAGAACAGTAAAAGAATTGCAGAGATAAAATTTAGGAAAAGCGTCTTTTGATTACACAGAACTATGTACTATTGTTTGTGAAGCTACAATGGTACACAGACTGAAATCTGTTGTAAAAATAGCAATCAAAATAACATACAAATCCTTCTTAAACATCCTTTCACATTCTCATCATTGTATAATCAATTCAAATATTGTTTTAATCAATTCATATAATGAGAAACACATCGATTGGCGTTTAGCCAAAATCATAGAAATTTATTAAGGATTTGATGGTGTTTCCCCCAAGTTGCAAGAGTTAGAACTCAGAATGGCGAAATTGTTCAACCATTTCAGCGATTGTTTAGTTTGGAGACGACAGGTACTGAAAGTAAAGCTATTAAATCGTAGCATTCAATTTTATGTTAATATCCTTTGACAAGTTTTCTTCTGATATATACATATTATGCAATTAGTTTTATGTATTTAAACTTACAACTTTTGAAAAATTTAAATCTTTTGCAGTTGGAGGATGTTGAATCTCCTTCCATTAAACTAGTAATTTTTATCTTTCAATAGATGCCACAGTATGTGCATCTTAGGAGAGAGCAAAGGGTTTTTCATTTTACTCTTCAGTGTATTTGTCAGTCGTCGCTCGATTAAATTTGTAATAATGTTTTCAAACTAGATCCGCATTGAATTTATTCAAACTAACAGCCTACATAATATTTTTGTGTTTTAACAGACTGTTTAATTTGATCAAAGAGTTGATACTTTGGAAAACAGTATAAATGCACTTTTAGTGACACTACACAAAAATGATTGAGCAATAGCGCTGTCCACAAACAGGAAAGAATTTAGTAAATAATTGCAAACAACACATTTTAAAATCCATATTTTTTCTGCATCTATGCTTTTGTATGTTTTAAAAAATGCAGTAGCATCTTTAGAAATATATTGCTTTAAAGTTACCTTGTTAGGTATAACATTGTAAATCAATTAATGAGCAAAGGCCTACTTTTTGTTGTATACTGTTAGATATAATCTAAAATTTATTTTTAGGAAATATTTATACAAGTGAATTTTTTTTCTTTTCTAAGCAGTAGTACTGTAAATTAAAAAGGCAGAGTGTGATAAAACTATGTAATCAGAAACGCAAAATCAGGACCTAATTTTAACTATACACATTTATTTGTCAGTTTTACTGAAGTAGTTTGAGTAATATTTTTAGATAAAAATGTAAAGACAGTTGAGAACAAAAATTTTATTCAACCTATAACTATACATAAGAATTGACACTTGGATTACTAATTCATCATCCTGTGATATTTGTAATTCAGCTGATAAATATGAAAGCTAAAAAATTGCATTTTATGTTATAATACAATGCCAGAGTAAATGACAACTTTTTTATTTATTTCTTTAACAAGTTCAATAAACAAAACTAATCATCTGCGATTCCAGCAAAACGTCTGCGTCTGGGAAATCCTCCATCGTTATCAGAAAATTCTCTCTCTCTCATGGACTGTTCCGGGAAACGACGATTTCTTTGATTAACTGGGGAATAAAAATAGTTTCAATATATATTATAAATATTTACCTTATATTTTAAATCAATTCTTAAAAAAAGAAAGAACATTACGTCCAACTCCTCCTTGGTCGGAAAACCGGCGATTTCTTTGTCCAACTAAAAATAATAAGTAAATTGGTTTTTTGCATTTATAAAAATAGCTGTAATTTAATGCAAAATATAAAAAGCTCTCAAACGAAATTTATATGGAAACAAAATATTGTAAATAATATACATTTTGTTTCTTAAAATAACTGCTTATGTAATTGAATAGCCTATTATAATTTTAATTAAACCATGAACAATGCCTGATCAGAGGTACAAAAAGACTAAATTGTAACCCATGAAGGACAGGGCTTTTATTCTGTGCACATTACAGCTTTCTGTTTACCACAATTTAAATGAATAGGTTCAATTATAGGGGAGATAGTTGTACCTTGAGACGAACAGCATGGCTTTGCCATTAATAATCGACTAACAAAACTAACCTGACCTAGTAATTTCCTTAGCAACCAAGTTAGTATAGAGTAGCTAGCAATTTCAAAGTGAGATTTGTGGGAGCAATAAAGAAAAAGGGAAACATTTCATCGGAAAGTAAATTATTACTCCATTCATTTTCCCCCCAAATTGATTGGTGTTAAAAATTAAGATATTGCATGGAACTTTTAATTGTGTTCCACTTAATAGTAAGGTTAGTTAATTTGAACAACTAATTGCAAACACTTTAACAGGCCACGCTTTTGCTGTTTTTCAATATGTCGTATTTGGGGACTCAATTGTTAAAGCGGGAAGATCTTGTGTTTGTAAAACAGGAATTAACATTTTCCGTTTAAGAAATGAAATTATAAAAGAAATAGATGAAAAAAAATAATAGGTCAATTGCCTTCACCCCTTGCAACAGGGTCTTCAATTATCCAAGTTCCCTGTGAATTCCAGTGCATCTGAACTAGTCTGGCAGATAAAGCCTTTTTATATAATGTTTTGTCTTCATTAATTAAGATTTATTTGCTGTATTTTTTAATTAGTACTAAGGTACAACACCCTACTTCTCAAGGTGCATGGTTGTTGTATTTTGAAATACTTTTCAAGGGTGTAAAAAATAATTTATTACTCCTTTATAAAATAACACATCTTTAATTTTCAAAGTGTTTATAGATTCTTTAATGGCAAGCAATAAGATATTTACCAACATTTCTACTATAAACTTAACCGAAATATTAAAAAAATTGTTTTCAAACTGTCCCAAGGTACAACACCTTCCCCTAAGTTATTTCATTATCTAGTGTAGGGGTGCACAACCTTTTTGAGTGAAGGGCCACATGCACAGCAGATTGACCAATAAAGGGCCGCATGCCTAAGTATTTCGACAGGCATATTGACAGCAATTGTGGGTGGTAATTGTTATATAAGCATAATTGTTCTAGGCACTAAATTCCTTTTGTTAGTTAGCCTTGTAATATCTTTCCATAAAATTATATACTTTTAAATGTTTAAAATTAGAAACTGCAAAACTGATTACTTAAGAAAAAAAAACAGAATCAGAAAATCAGAATCAATTTATCAGATAAAATTTGGATAAATTGAAATAATTAAAAATTTGGGGAAATTTCATATTTTTTTTTATCATGTTAGTTAATGCAAAAATCCATTTAAACATAAATTTTAACGTTAAAAAATTTGTTCATAGAATTAAATTTAAAAGAAATAAATAAATATTCTAGTAATTAAAATAAATGCAAGTTAAATACTTTGATTTAAAGAAAGTTTATAGGGTTAAAAATGATTAAACTTAAAACAAAACCCCTTCAGCGGAAAATAAGATTTAGCATTTAGTAGGGAATATATTTTAACTATAAAATGGTTACTTTAAAATAATTATAAGAGGCAGGGGCTGAGAGATGAAAGAAAAGGAAAGAAAGAAAACATGAATTTTGAAGGAACTATTTTCCTTAATAATAGAAAATTATTAGGATACTTGCTTACAACTTTTATGACGAATATTTTTTAACATGATACTTACTATTTACAATTAATACACATATATATTAACAATTAATAAAGTTTACATTACTTTTCTAAATAATTTTTTGTTAAAGTTAAAATTTAATGATATACAAATCTTTCCCAGTATATGATCATAAATGATATGAAATGGTCTAAGTAGGTAGAAAATGATTTAAAAAATTTCTAATTAGTTACCCTGTAATTTGCAAAACTTATAAATATTGTGATAATTTTATCTACTCGATCATGTGATAGCTTTTTCGAGCCATTAAATGAAAATTTAATGATTTTGTTTAAAGACTGCTCTGTAATTTTAAACAGGCCAATTTCATTTTGGAAAACAGTCTTTCGATAGAAGTTGTTGTTGTGGCTGGTATTAAACTAAAACTTATCAGTTTTAGAATCTGTCCTAGATGGTGCTATTCCTTTCCCAATTTTTAAATCGCGTGAATACAAATAGCAATGTGTTATTTTTAAATTGCTTGAATACGAATTGCTATTATTGACTTTTAAATTTCGTAAATAGTATAAAACGCGATGCGTGGATTTCAAATTGCGTGAACACGAATCGAGATGTGTGGTTTTAAAATTGCGAGAAGATGATTCACAACGTATGATTTTTAAAATGCGTGAATATGAATCGCGATAGGTGGTTTTTAAATCGCGACAATATAAATCACGGTGTGCTATTTTTTAATTGCGAGAAGAATATATGATATTTTAAACGCCAGAACACGAATCGCGATTTTAAATCTCGTTAATATGAATTGCGATTAATGATTTTTAAATGTATTACGAAGTGCGATGTGCAATTTTAAGATCGCATAAATACGAATTATGACGTGACTTTTTAATTACGAAAAGGATCAAAACGTACGATTTTTGAAATGCGTAAATACGAATCGCGATATGTGATTTTTTAAATCATGTGACTACAAAAAATAGGTTGTGTGTGTTCTTAAACATGCACATGTTCATGGGACAAAATAAATATGCACGCGTTTTGAGTTATTTTTTGCTAAAGAGAACGCGTTTAATATAAATATTCACATCTCTTTTTTTTTTTTTTAATTCTCTTTCGGAAGGTATCTGTTTTGTTAATATACGTAATTGCTTTTTTAGTTACAAAAAAAAATAAAATAGAATCAAATTTCACGAGTTGTAATGTGTTAAAATATCAGGATATTCTAAATCACAATTAAAAATGCAGAACTGGAAAGAGAGAAAAAAAACACGTTAAAAAAAACCTCTTATATTTATGTTAAAATCGGTACAAATATAGCGCGTAAAAAGCTATTATTTTAATGCGCGATTCAAAACTCTGGTGCAGTCAAATTATTAACAGTATTAAAAACATCAGAATTTTTTTTTTTTTAATCACGGGGAAAAGCGTAGTTA